TTAAACAAAATCAAATTTTCTAATATAACAAATAAGCAGGCTATATACATTATTACCAATTTAATTTTAACCCATGCTGTGTATTAGATACAAAGTACCTACTTATCAAAATGCCCTTGCTTCTTAATTACAAATCTGTACACAAATATTATCAAATAAAAAGCTAGGTTTGCTTAATCTACACCTAACTTCACACTTTATTATCCTAATATATATGCCTTAAATACACTATACAATGTTCAATAACAACAACAAATCTGTACATTAGATTATAGTATTAACTTCCCAGACTTTAACAATAAAAGTTTAAAAATTCAACTTCAACAAATCCAAAATGATGCCAATTCAAACAAATCAATTTTAACAGAACAACCAGTCTTAACTTCAAATGAAGCAAGAACAAATACAGCACAAATAATACTTATACTTTATGTACTCAATATTCAACTCGAATGTTGATCTAACCCATGGCCTATTCCAAACAAATAAAGAGCACAACTATTAATTCAATCATCTAATCAATGTAACAATCTTATACATTAAAACAAAAATTAAGCACTCATAATATTATCTGCATTGAACAATTTTTTAATTACTCAAATTACAACATACTAGATTGGATACCCTTTCATTACAATATATAAAAGATACTCAGAAAAAAAATATCAAAATAGTTTAAAGTAATTACTGACAATATAATTTTATCAATAAATCTATCTACAGTACTTAGCTATTCTAATACTTTTATCTTCATTAATATTAACTTACCTAATTCTCATTAGATAATCACCAAATTCTGACTATTTGGAAAAGTATCAAGGATTAACAACAATTAGGCCAAAATTAAGCATTATAAACCCACTCACTAAATGACCATCAACTTATTTCATGTTTTGGATGTCAATTCAAAAACTCAAAATTTAAAATAGTGCACTGTTACTTTACCAACCCAACACATTCAAATTTCAAAATACAAGTTCACTGCTACAAAAAAAATTATGCAAACCTTGCATGTCTATATTCTCAACACAAAACTAACCAACCTGAACAAGACCACAAACCTCTGTTATTAATAGTAAAATACTGCACTACTTATCACTTTATTCAAGCTTTTACAAAAGAACATAAAGAACTGTAGAGAATCTTTACAGCAAGCTTATTTCCAAAAGAACTAAATCTTAAACTAACAACTAACTATAAAAAGATAAATAAAATTAATATACTATTCATCTAACTATTATTTTAACATAATGGCACAACTGGCACTGCATTAATCAAACCTTTTCCTTCTTAACCTATGCAATGTTTGCAATAATTGCAATAATTCTCACAGTAGCAATAGCAGAAACAAAAATTCAAATAACAACAAATAAAAGTAAGATTTTAAACAAAATTACAATAATACTTCTGGCTCAATTAGAACAAAAACAGAAACTTAGAAAAACTCTTTTCAACAACATAATTATACTTCTAAATACAATGCTAAATACAAAAAACTTGCTAATTCAAATTAATTTAACAGAAAAAAAAATCAATATAAAAGATGCATCATATTAATTCACACAGATTTGATCCCTAGTACAGTATTTAACAATAGTTTTACATTATATATACTAAACATACCAACTACATATAGAATTCATCAAATACCTAAAATTCTACAATAAGCTAAGCAATTATTATTTGGAATAACCAAAAATGCATTAAATGAATAACAGAATGTTTTGACAACATTAACTGAAAACTAATCTTTGAATATCTTAACTATCAGAACAACTCCTTAGTTGAAACATTGATCTAATCAAATTCTTACTAAAAACATTTAAAATTAAAATTTTAATCTTCAAACTACCTATACACCTAAATTCATATAATAGAAACTCAAAATAATACAACAATCCATATTGTGCAAAATGTTTTTATATATTAAAAGATATACAACACATGCTTATATGTCCATATAACCAAATAAAACTAAAAGAAATAATAAGAGAAGCAATAACCAAAATCTGTAAGAAAAATGAAATTGAAACAATTATCTCAATGGACTTGGCTAAAGAAATACAAAATATTCACATTCTTTATAAAATTTCTATTAGGATCATAACAGACAATTTAACAAATCTTGGACCTATAAAAAGAAAACTTCTTTCAAATATTTATTATCAAATGATAAATAAAATATATAAATACATATGGAAAAAACCTGCAACATCAAATAATATCATAATCAATTACTAATAATAATACAAGCATTATACTTATAAACCTTATAGATAGATAATACACTCTATAGCTTAATAGATTTAAACAATTTAATTAAATTTTTTCACTCACTAAACTAATAGACTAGAGGTCTTCTAACTATTCTAGCTAAGAATAAGTTGAGGGCAAATTAGCCTAACCTCTACTTCTTTAAAATTAATATATTGATTTGTACTAATGTATCTAATTATATATTATTAAAATAAAAAATTTGAAGAAAGACCTTTCTTCTCTTAAAAACATTACACTAGCCATTTCTATTGACACATTTTATATAACCACTTTCATTTACCTCAAGCAAACTACTTTTTCTATACTGCCAATCACTTTAATTTTAACATCAAATCCTGATTATTTACTGTTTTTAATAATTAAATAATTATTGACAAGACCAGAAGGCATAGCAGCCCTACAGATATTACTCTTATTACTTACTAGCACTGCTCATTTCAGTCCTATTTTTTTAATCTTTATTCTACTCTTTCTTCTATTACTACCATATGCTCTAAATGCCATCTTAATTCTAATACAATTGCTAACAAATGCACTATCTTCATCTTTACAAATCTGGCAACTAAACTATTCTATTATACTAACTCTGACAAGACTCTTAATCTACATGCCAACTTTCTTGACATTGCATACTCTGTAGCTATTTGACACCCTTTACATATTCTACCTCCTTTTTCATTAATAATCAACCCACAACAACTATCTCATATCTTTTAATCAGATCAACTTACTGATAGCTTACAGTTTAATGCCAACTCTAATTACAATATAACTATTATTTTCTTCTATACTGATGGTTCTGTTATTGAGCTTGGTACTTTTCAATATTCTATGGGCATAGGTTGAGTTCAAGTTGATAACCTTGTAACTACTCACTCATTTCAGACACAAGTTAAACTCTGGCCATGTTTCTTTAAAGCTAAAATTTTTGCCATTCTTTTAGCAATTATTACTGCCTCTAAAAACTGTTTTGTTCATATTTTTACTGATTCACAATCTGTAACCTTCAAATATTATAACATCTGCTCATTAGCATCTAAACTATCTCATATCTACATCCCATACTTCTTAATTTGGCAAACTCTTATCAACTTTATTAATTTATACAATATTTAGCTTATTCTTTACAAAGTCACTGTACACCATGATGACCCATTTAATAACCTTGCTAACCAACTTGCTCATAGTCATTAAATACTACCCTTTTTAACATTTCTAACTAACAATTCTTACAACCTTGCTTATACTCTATTTATTGACTAATTTTCTATCAAAATTTCTATTCATCATTCTATTTATACTATCTGTTAAGCTTATATTATAACACTTTGGACATCTCAATACTGTTTTTAACTATGGTCCATTATTGCATTTAATATAAACTGGAAAGCCACCTGGCTTTACATTAACAACAATCAAAAAGTTTCTAACTTTACTTACAGCTTTTACTCTTTAACTCTGAAAATTTTTTGTATTAAAATTCTTTTGGATGAACTATCTGTTTCTCACACTCTCTATAAATATAACCTTTTTTATTCTTTTCTTTGTTATCAATGCAATCAAACTAGCTCTTCATTACACTAGGCTATTTGCCCTTCTACTCAAACAATTTATCACCTAATCTTTAATTCTCTTAATCATATTTTAAATACAACTGCTTTCAATATGTCTTCTAATCTTGTTTTTAATTTGTATAAAGAAATCCTTACACTTAATAGTTTTAAACTGCACAACTTTTTATACACACCATTACTTATTTCTACTTTATCAGGTTTAGTTCTTATTGACCTTATCTCTACTATTTACAATACTTCAATTTTCTATCATACTGCTACTTTTCTTTCTATTAAACTTTTTCTTCATTTAAACTAACAAATATATAAACAAATATGGATTCCATATTGTATTTCATGTTTTGCACAGTTTCAAATTACATTTTCTACAAGCTTAACTTATAGTTCTTCTTCTAGTCTACCTTTATTTTCTATTTTAATACTACAAATTATAACAAAAATTAACTTTTAGACTATTTAATAGATTAAATATTATACTTCTTTCTCTTATATTATTACTAACTAGGCCTTTGCACAGGCCTGGGCTACCCATGAGTACCCTTAGGGTAGTACTATATAAGATAGACCAGTGTATTAAATTATAAACTCTTAAAAGGAGATAGGACTAAATAGGGCTTGAATATTAGTACTCTAGTAAGATTTGAATCCAGATATACCCAGCTGTGGAGTATTGAAAAGTACCCATTATTGTACTATGAAAAATCACATGAGCGCAAATCTTGAACTTTGATTGGCTAAAATTTCATACTGGTTAGATAATCTAAAACTTTAACTTTGCATAATCTTCTTCTTAACATATAAAAGAAAAAGAGATTATAATAAGCAGATATTTTTTTTAAGAAAAAATAAAAAAAATACCACATAATCAGTAGAAAGGTTGTAGCCAAAGGTGTAGTTTTTAAATTAACCAAAATAAATAAAAAAAAAAAATAAAAAAAAAATAGATAAGTTAAATGAATATTTCAATCTTATTTGAGATTTTAAGCAGGTTAAGTTTTTTTAACTGTTATGACACTACTTATATAGTGTGCTCTTGGCCGAATAAGAATTGTACTTGCAATAAATATAACCTCTACTAATACAATAGATGTTCAAAATATAACCTTTACTAATACAATAGACATACAAAACATAACCTTTACTAATACAATGAATATTCAAAATGTAACCTCTACTAACTCTGCAACTTCATTATCCATACCAGTATCTTCTGCTGCTAACAACACTACCACTACCACAAGTTTAACATCTTTAAAAAGCACTTTAGCAGTTTGGGAACACTTTATCTTATTATCAAATGAACTAAAGGCAAAATATAAATATTGCAAAAGTATTTTAGTTTATAAAAAAGATACTGGAACATCACATCTTTGGCATCATCTCAAATCTTGTAATAAATTTAAAAGAAATGGGACATGTAATGAACAATCAAATGGATCAAATAAATCAAATGATCAAACCCATTTGAATTTTCCTATTTTAACTAAATGGCAATGTATAGAAAACCCAAGTCGAAAAGACCTGGTGAATATGATAATTCAGGATGAACTATGTTTTCAATTTGTTAAAAAATCCAGCTTTTGTAAATTTCTAAGTGAGGTTCTACCTTGCTTTAGTATGAGTGCTGATACAGTAAAGCACAATATTATAAAAGAATATGATAAAAGAAAAAACTTAATAAAAACATTTTTTCAAAATGCCAAAGGGAGAATCTTTCTTACATGTAATGTATGAATGTCACTTTAGCAACTAGAATATTTGGCAATCACTGCTCATTTTTTGGATGAAAAGTGGAACCTTATATCTCTTTTAATATCCTTCCAACTATTTCCCTATTCTCATTTTGGTGCCAACATTGCAAATTGTATTAAGACTGTAGCCGATAACTACTTAATTACTACAAAAGTATATAATTATTATCTTGATTTTGATATTATTTAACATATATTAATAATATTATATATTTATAGTTACAAACTATTACTCTTGACAATGCAAGTTTGAATGATGTTGCAATCTATAAACTAATTAATTCTGCTTCACAGAATTTAATTAATATCAAAAAAGGACTTTTTCATAACTGCTGTCTTGCTTACATCCTGAACCTTATTGTGAAAGATGAATTAAAGGAAATTTCAGAGGCAATTATAAAGATATTTATTTTATTTAATTAATTTTAAATAATAATTTAATAATATTTTTATAGATTTGCAACTTATTAAGGCAATACATACAACACCAAGGTGGTATCAAATGTTTTTAAATGTTTGTAAATATAAGTCTGTCAAAGCTATAATTCTGCTTTTAAATTGCGAGACTCGATGAAACTCTACTTTCATTATGCTGCAATCAGCAATAAAAATGAAAAGTGTAATTACTAGAATAAAAGATTAGGACAAAACTTTTTCTGATATATCTGATGAGAAAGAGTAGAGAAGGGTAGAAGTTATTTATACTGTCTTAAAACTATTTTATGATTATAATTATAGATTTTAGTTATAAATATAAGTTATTTTAATTGACTATAATGTAATTAAAAATTTTTGTATGATGTATTTTTTGTTTAAATAAAAATTGGTTATATTTATAATTTAAGAACAAAAATTTATTTATTTTACATCTTTTTTTAATTAATATTGTATTTTAATAAAAAAACAGACACTTTAAAAGCATCAGCTACTTCTTATCCAACCATCAACAATATGCTTACCTCTATTCTAAGTATTTATGCCCATCTTCTTAATATGAAATTCTATTTGGATTACTTTGTTCATAATACTTTTCGACCCATGATAGAAAAATTTAATAAATATTAAAAAGATAGTAATCTACTATATATAATTGCATATATTCTTGATTTACATTATAAGATGCAGCTTATTTCATTTTATTATTATAAAAAAGAAAAGCAAGAATTAGATAATGTTGATAAAAAAATACAGGATATCTTAATGAAGTATGTATATAATATAATTATTGGCATAAATATTTTAAAATTTTATTTTATTAATATTTTAACAATTTAGATTTGAAGATCTGTATCTTCATATTATTTTCTATTAGATTACTTTTCATCAAAAATATCTGATATTGAACAGCATGTAATAAATAGTAGAGATACTAGCATTGAAGATAAAGTGTCAACATTTGAAAGTCAACTTGATAATTTTTTTGAATATGCTATAAAGAAAACCCAAACTAATCAACCTGACATGCTTCAGGAAGTCAAGCAGTATTTTGATGAAAGTATTGTTAATAAGACCACTAATGTTCTTGAATGATGAAGGCTTAATGAAAATCATTTTCCAAATCTATCTGCAATGGTCCAGGATATTATTGCTGTACCAGCAGCAAGCATTGCATCTGAACAGATGTTTAGCTGTGCTGATCATATTATTGATGATAAATGCACTTCATTAGATCCAAATATGATATTTGCATTAATGTATTAGCAAAATTGGCTAGAAGTGTCAACTAAGTTTGGATGAGATTTATAATTACATGAATATGTTTTGATGTTATATTTTAATTTGCTTTTAATATTTGCTTGCATGAAACTAGAAATTTTAAACATAATAAACTGAAGGTTGATTTTGTATTTATAATTGAATCTATTTATAAAATTTTTGATTATTAATTGTTAATTGTTAATCAGTAACTGTAAATAATAGTGCTTTGCAAAATTATAATAATCAGATAAAATTTCTAAAATTCTAATTAACTTTTAATTTATATTTTTGATTATAATTAATATAATCTTTAAGTAAAACTATTAAGAAAACATTATAATCAGCAATTAATCAATTTAAGCATTAAATATTCAATTAAATATACATTTAAAATATTCAAGTTTAATACTTAAATATTTCAATAATTAAGTTTTATTTTATTAATTTATTGATTTGCAAAATTTCAAAGTTTTTGATTGCTTGAGGATCATCATTAGACTGATCAAAGACTTCAAAATTTTGCTAATCATAATAATGATCCTTTTCAAAGTAAATTTACTAGTAAATGAATTGCATTATATTAATTTGTATATAATACAGTATAAGGCCCAAGAGTAAGTTATAAATATCAGCCTGTGGTCCTATAGGCATTAGTTATAAAATGCTTAAACATATCAGCCCTGAATGCACTTCTGCCATTATCAGTCTCTTTAACTATTGCCTTCTTGAAAACAGAATTTCTAAACAATAGAGACATAACAAAATTTATTCTATTCCCAAACATAACTTCTTTGATGATAATCTTAATCTTACTTGATCTATTAGTCTTGTTGAACATATTCACAAACTATATACCAAAATTCTTACAAACAGACTAAGCACCATATTTTCTTTTAATCCTATTCTCTCACCTTTTAATTATGTTGCACTTCCTAACAACAGCGCTTCAATCCCTATTCATATTCTCAACAATCTTATTGAAGATGCTACTTGTAATCATAAGGATATTTGGCTACTTTCACAAGATATGAGTAAAGCATATAACTCTGTAAACTTTACTCTTTTTAAACATTCACTTTCTCATCTAGCACTCTCTACACCTATTATTAATATTTTTTCTAACCTTTTGACTGATCGTCACAATCAAGTTATTACTAATTTTGGCGTTACTTCCTTATACCCTATTTACAATGATATTGACCAAGATGAAATCATTACTCCTTTATTATGGCATATATATTATAATCCACTTACCTCATATATACATGCACAAGTACCTGGCTATACCTTACAATCCTTCTGGACTACCAATCTCAAACTTCAAACATTTAACTCATTACAAAAACAATGCTTTGTTTTGGCATATATAGATGACATCCTCCAGGTTGCTTCATCACAAACTGAGCTTTCAAATATACTATCTATAGCTGAATCATTTTATGCTATAGCTAATATTCAAGTCAACCCCTCAAAATCCATCCTTGTCACCAATAATTCTCCATCTCACTACACTCCTATCTTCTATAATAATCATCTTCTTTCATTTCATTCTTCTAAATAACTCTTTAAATTCTTAGATTACTGGTTTACTCTAAATAACAACCAATCTAAACAAACAAAACTGTTTATTGCTGAATTCTCTCAATTTATTCAAATTGCTAAAACCAAACGTATTACTAACTCACATGCTAGTTATATTATTAACACAGTTATTATTTCTACTCTCGAATATCATCTTTAAAATATTGTAGTTAGTCAGCCTACCTGCAATAAAATTTTACTCAGCATATTGGCCTTGTTAAACTTAAAGCTAAACTCTGCCATACAATACCCTCCAGTACTTTTTCACACTCCCAAATTTACAAAATTAAACACATCTGAGACATTCAATTACAACATCATATTCCTAAACTTCTTAAACAACTTAATAATCCTAACCTATTAGGCACATTAACTCACATTTAAATTCAATAGTTACCAAACAACCTCTGGTCTCCTACCAATATCTTTTTATATTCTAATCCTATTATTGATGGTTCCAACTATCTAACTACAAACTTTAAAATTATTCAGCTTATTAAGCATATTGGCTAGACATTTTCTACTAACCCAACCTACAACATTTCATTTACTCTAAATGATAGAACTATCTCTCTTGAATCTCTTCTTTCCTCTCATCCTAAATATTTCATTTTCAAAAAAAACTTAGATATCACAAACTACTCTTTTTCGACCAACTTATTATATATGATAACTCATGCTTATTACATTGGCAACACATTTCTCCTAGATTAAATAAACTCTCTAAAGGTGTTATACCTCAATAGTTTACTACTCTTGAGGACATTACAACAAGCCATTCTTATGAACATACTTTATATAACCACTTTAATTTACACCAAACAAACTACTTTTTCTATACTACCGGCTACTTCAACTCTAATACCAAACCCTAGTTACTTACTGTTCTTAATGACCAAATAATTATTGGCAAAGCCAGAAGGCATAATACCCTTACAGGCCTTATCCTTATTAATTACTGGCACTACTCATATCAGTCCCAATTTTCAAACCTATATCCTACTCCTCCTTTTTTCACTACATTATGTTCTGGATGCAACCTTAATCCCAATGCAATTGCCAACAAATGTACTATCTTTATTCCTACAAACCTGGCTACAAAACTACTCTGCTGTATTAATACTGACAAAACTCTTAACCTACATGCCAACTTCCTTGATATTGCATACTCTGTAGCTATTCGACATTCTTTATATATTCCATCTCTTCTTTCATTAACAATCAATCCACAACAACTACCTTGTATCTTCCAATCATGCCAACTTACTGACAGTTTACAGTCTATTGCTAATTCTAACCATAATCTAACTACTATTTCGTTTTATACTGATGGTTCTGTTATTGAGCTTGGTACTTCTCAGTGCTCTATAGGCATAGGATGGATCCAAGTTAATAAATCTACAACTATTCACTCTTTTCATGCATAAGTTAAACTTTGGCCATGCTTCTTTAAAGCTAAAATTTTTGTTATTCTCTCAACAATTATTACTGCTTCTAGAAACTGTTCTGTTCATATTTTTACAGACTCACAATCTGTTATCTCCAAATATCACAGTATCTGCTCATCAGCCTCTAAACTTTCTCATACTCATAC